CCTCACTAACCTCCCTGCCGGCCTGGTTGTAGGCAGCCATCTTGTGAGGGCATGGGGTCAATTTGCATATTACCTCTTTATTATATAGGATTTGATAAGTCTTTAGATGTATTTGTTCCTTTAATTGTCAAATGCTGTGAGGTAGATACTATCATCTTTATGATACAGATAGAAATACTGAGGTTCTGTATTAAGTAACTTCTATTAAGTAATAGATTAAGTAACCTGTGTCTGACTGTGGAGCTATACTCTTAGCCACTAAAACATATGGCCTCTGTATTAATTTCTTAGGGCTGCCAAAGGAAATTACTATAGACTGGCTGGCTGGCTCAAAACAATAGAAATTAACATTCTCACAGGTCAGGAGGCCAGAAGTTCAAAATCAAGATGTTGGCAGGGTTGGTTCTTCTGGAGGCTCTGCGGGAAAGCCTGTCCCAGGCCTCTCTCCTAGTTTCTGGCAGCTTCCAGCAATTCTTGGTTTGTAGCCAAACCACTCCAACCTCTGCCTCCATCTTCCCATCAACTACTTCTCCTACTTTCTTTGTGTCTCTCTTTGCTACCAGGTCACCAGACATTGGATTTAGACCAAACCTAAGCCAGTAGTATCACTTGCTCTTTACCTTGATTACATTTGTAAAACTCTATTTCCAAATAAAGTCACATATTGAGATTCCAGTAGACATTTTTTTTGGGGGGGGGGAGGAGGTTACTATTCAACTGAGTACATCTTCCTCTATTGTATTTACCCAATAGCTCCCTTGTTATTAATGGAACTCCCATGTTCATAAACACTTCCTTTGACTGGATGGATGTACAATACTCTCTTTCCCCATTGGTGGACATTTAGGAGGTAGAGGGTGACAGCTAGCACATAGGACCGTGATGCAAATCACACACAGGTGTTCCCTTCCCTGGGCTGACCGAGGTGCCTAGGTTGGTGATCAGAGCAGCGGCCGGATTTCAGCTTCCACTTAACTGCTCTGTCAGTCACCTTTCTGCATGTGGGACATGAACCTAGCATGGTTTGTTACTATTTTAGAATATTTAAGAAGCTCAATTTTTGCATTTGGCTTTTTTTTTTCTGTTTCAAATTAGGAAGCACACAATGTCCACATTGAAAGAGGCCCTAGAAATCTTTTGCTTCAAATGCCTCCATAACATCAGATGAGAAAATAATTATAACATCCTATAATAATTTGGTGTTTATTGTTTCACATAGCATAGTTGAAATCTATTATTTTTCAGTCTTGGGAAAAGAGACTCAGAAATTTTAACTAACTTTGCTACTAAATAGGGTAAAATATCAACTCTCTTGTCTTTCCTCAGTACCTTGCTTGGGTCAGGCTGACTCAAGTCGAGCCCCGCTTCCTCTTGTACATCCCAGCTGTGAAATAATCATTATTTTAAAATGTTTATGAACAGGGACATAGTCCTCCTTTTATGTCTGTAGTCTGATTTCTTTTGAAACTACCTACACCTTTCTTCTTCTCTTTTGAACTTTGCTTTGATGAATATATTTCTGACCAGATAAAAGAAGTTGCGAGTGCAGCCTTCTTAACTTAAAATGACCACCTTTGTTCATATCTTTATACATATTCATAATTTATACTATTACCATAGTACTTTGGTTACTGTGACAAGCCTGATATTTTAATAGCACATATTTCAAAGGACAGTGAAGAAAACATATAGCATCTTCTTTTTCTTATATTTAAATAACTTTTTTGAATGCTTTTTAAATTTTTTTTATAGAGAAAAGGTTCAGTTAATTTTATAAGGGCTAACATAAATGAAAATAACTCAATGAAATAAATAAGAATTCAAGTTTGCAGCCTAATTAGTAGACCAAAATTCTTAGCATTTACTTTCCCCACAGATATTTTTGTGATTTCTTGATGGTATAGAACTCAGCTCATTCCTCTCTGTGTTCCTTGGGGTTTAATGCAATGCTAGACACACACGTGGCTACTAATAAGTTCATGTTGATTGAATGCATGGCACAACCACCTCCTCTCTTTTCCTTATGTGTTCTGCTCTGGCCATAGTGACTATCCGTTATCTGGACACATTGCACCTCGTCCCACTTGCATGCCTTTGCAATGAATGATTTTTTCCAGTGACCCCCCCACCCCCCTTCCAGGTTCCTACTCATTTTTTAAGATCCAGCTCAAATGTCAGATCCTCCATGAAGCATTTATTAAGGTCAGGATGATGCCTCATTCATCTCTATGTCCCCAGCATCTGGCACAGACTCACAGTTATGAAATGTGCATTGAAATGAGAAAGTGAATGAACAGAGGGACAGAATCAGTATCCCATAGCAGATAAGAACGTGGGCTTTATGGTCTGACAAACCTGGATGGATATCATGCTTCTTGACTTGCACCTGGTGACCTTGGCCAGGTTATGTCATCCCTCTGAGACTTCACTGGTTGTCAAATGAGGATAATGACAGCATCTGATTCCACGGGTTCTTGTAAGGATAAACTGAGATCCTGTTGGGAAAATCCTTCACCTCATGCGTGCTAAATGATAGCGTTGATAGACTTGTTCTACAGTTTTCCCTCGATTGCACTGGAGAGGCTGTGGTCTGGCCGGCCTCAGTGTGATTGTGTTAGATGGAAATATTTTGGCTGGGGAGTCATGGACTTGTCATGGCCACCACCCCATTTTCAAATGGAATAAAACAGAAAAGCAGACTCCAGCTAACTGGAAAACACTACTAGAGTAGAATTTTCTTGGCACTTAAGTTTTAGGAGAAAGAGACAAACCACAAAATAGAAACGAATGTAAGGGTTTTTTTAAAATATAGAAACCTTGCAAGTAAGTTCTAGGGGATGACCTTTGAACTGTGTTCAGCCTAAACCTCTGTGGTTTTGCACAGTGGCAAATATATACCATAGGCATTGAATTAATCCTACTGGTTGGTGATTAGGCCTTAAACTGTCTTTTAAAAAAATTGAAATGGGTGTCAAGATAAAAAAGAAACTATTATAAAAAGTTTCAAATATATACCAATTTAGAGTGATTAGTCTAATAAATTTCCACATAACTATTAATCAGCTCAATAGTTAGCAATATTCAATCAGCTCAATAATTAGCAATATTCTGCCATTCTATTTCATTCTTCTCCTTTTTATTTGTGTGTTTTACTAGAGTATTTAAAAGCAAATGCTAGACATATTTTTTCACTCATCAATATTTTAGTATCAGATAAACGCTTTAAAAGTATAATTATAATCTGTTATCACTGCCAACACAATTAAAATTAATTTCTTAATAGGATCTAAAACCCAGCCCATGTTTCGTTTTCCTGATTGCATCAATAAGCCTTTTTAAAAATATTCATTGGGTGACATTGGTCAACATAAACATATGTTGGTTTTGGATATGGGTTTCTATGTTACAAGATCTGTATATTGTACCGTGTGCCCACCACCAAAGCCAGATCTTCTCCTGTCACCTTCTATTAGGTCCTAATAAGTTTTATAGTTATTTTGTTTGAATCAGTATCCCAGCACAGTTCACAAATGCTATTTGTTGGCTACGTGTCCTAAGTCTGTCCATGTGTAACCATTCCCTTCCTTTGTTTCCATGCATTTCTTTCTGTAAGAATTTTTAAGTAGATAAATATTTCACAAAAACAAGGTTTGTGGTTTCTCTTGAAAGTTCTGGCAGCCCTGGCTCACACTCCCAGAAGGCGCATTTGGCTGCAGCACAGAGACTGTAGCCCTTCCCGCGTGCGAGTGCCTGAAGACCCCACAGTCCTCACTAGTCCCTGTTGCACCAACCAGCTCACCTCATTGACGTTGCCTACCCAGCCCCCATGGGCGTTATGCTGGCCACCTCTGACCTACATATACATCTATTGGGCAACGAGGACTGAATCCTAAGTGATGACCTTCAAGTCCAAAAACATCCTCAGTCATTATGTCAGTGTTCAGTTTTGTGCCCTGTATCATGTAGGTAGGAATGGAAGCTTTCATTCCTATGAAATGTTTCAAAAGTTTCCAGTGAAGGATTACATCAACAAAATATTTTTTAAAAATCCTAAATTAGCTTAAAACTTTATGAATTGGCGTGTCTCTTTTCTTGATCATTCCAGTTCATCTGCTTTACAGCCTTTCATTCTGTAAGTATCTTTTTCACCGTGTGGAGGTTTGATCTACAAAGGCCACTGGACAAGGTGTCACAAGACCCAAACTTGAGCCTTGGTCCTATGGCAAGTGGGCCACCATTTTGCTTCTCTGAGACACCTTGCAGAGTGGAGGTATTAACAGCCTATCTCTCAGGGTTGTTGTGAATGTCAAATAAAGTAGCAGATGTGATGTTAATTTGTAAACTGTATAGCTCTACACGGAAGCTATTACCCTGCAGGAGGCTGTATTGAATGATGCGAACCATCCTCTTTCATGCCTCCATGTCGTACTCTGCTGTTCTCTCTCCTTGGAATGCCCTTAAGAATGAATTGCTCATCATCTATGGTCCCCAAACACTTTATAACCTTTGTCACACTGTAGTAAGGGCACTTTTCACATCTTTGTCTTCTGGAAGATTCTGAAAGCAAACTGCAGTTTATTCAGGGCTTGGCACACAGCAGACTCTCAGTAAGTGTCTGTTGAATTCGTTTGGACTGATTTGATTAATTATTCTATGTGTGTCTTCTTGAAGGACAAAGTCTATGTCATACAGTTCTTTAGGTATATCATCTGATAACTGACCAACCTTGGCTCTTGTTAAAAGCTGCTGCTGCTGCTGATGATGAAGAAGAAATATTCATAAAAATAGTTTTGTATTTTACATTTAAGGCAATGATCAGACTTCTTAAGTATATTATTAGTAATGTAAGCTCATTAACAATGAAAGCACCTAAATGTGAATGCCTATAATTAAGTATTATTTTTTTCTGTTGGGGAGAACTTAACAGAAATCCCAGTCATCCTTTTTGGCCCCAGTTATCTGATTTTCTTCATTAATTTAGGCTTCTTGCTCTGTTACAGCTGGTTTGCCATCCACCCTGTCAGCATGAACAACAGCAATCACCTTGTCAATAGCGACAATATGGGCTATGCATCTTACCTGTTTGAGCAAGAGAAGAACAAAGGACATTTACCTGGACAGGTAAGAATTTGTGTTATTGAAAACTTCACCTAATTCATTGAGTATCATCACTCATGCAATATTCAAAATAGCTGAGTCAAGTTTTCAGAGTAAAGAGTTAGTATGGGCATCACATACTGGCATACTTGGATTAAAAAAATTTCCATCTTAGTAGGAAATGAAAAATTCAAAAGGACCAATAAACTGTGTCAAACACTACCTATATTGATGGCTTCATAAAGTTATAAATAGTTGGATAAAGGAGGGCAAGTTCAAGGTTTTTGTAGTATATAATCATTTTTATCAACTTGGAAACATGGTAAATTGTATTGATGTTTACTTTTGTTTTCAGAGTTCTAAAAGTATTAAGCATCTCTTTAATGGTATAATAATCTGAATGAGGACAGATGCCGAGTCCTTTTCACTGGTCCAGACATCCCTCTTCATGGTGAATTTCCTTTCTAGGACATTGTTCTACTTTCCTGTCATAAGGCCTAAGTCAGAGACAGCCCTAATCCATCAGACTTGTTTGTAATTTTGAAACTCAGTGAGTGACTGGATCAGAGATGGGGGCCAGGAACCCAGTCCATGTACTCCAGATGCTGCTCAGATCTGTATACAATAAAGACTACAGCTAGCTAGGTGGGAAGAGGGACCCTGTCTGCTTGCCACCAGCACCTAAGCCCTAGAATGCATGATATATGATGGGATGAGAGTCCCGGGCCCTTGACTAGAATAATGCTCTGTTATGAAGATACTGATTCATGAACATTTAATCTGATCTTTTAGCTCCTTTGTTGACAAAACTGTATTTTTTCATCTTAGCCTGTATTTTAGGGAAAAGAAAGGAGGTTCTCATTTGTGATCACTGGCTAGGTGCTAGGCACTTTGAAATAAATTATCTTTTTAGCATCATGATCTCTGATACTTGCTTGCTTCTTTTTCTAAGAAAATTTACGACATTTAAGATGGAATGGTATAATCAAACAAAATAGAAACAGACTCATAGATACAGAGAGCAGACTGACAGCCATCAGAGGGGAAGGGAGTTAGGAGGCTGGTTGAAAAAGGTGAAGCCAATAAACAAAACCCACCAACCCCCAAAACTCATAAACACAGATAATGGTGTGGTGATTACCAGAGGGAAAGGGGGTGGAGGCAGGTAGAAGGGGGTAAAGGGGACACAAATGGTGACAGAACCATTTTGTGTGGTGAACACACAATACAATATACAGATGATGTATTACAGAATTATACACTTGAAACCCATATAATTTTATTAACCAATATCACCTCAATAAATGCAATAAAAATGTCACTTGGAATAGTTCCAACCAAAAAGAAAAGAACAAAGTACAGAATGGCAGGACAGTGGCTTGAGGTTACCATTCTAAAGGTTATGCGTTGTTACTTCAGGTTGAAGAGACAGAGAAACGATGTGTGGAAGCACAAGCCTGGATGGTGGACACTGTGTTTAGGTTCAGTTTCACAACAGGAAAGTCCGGGTTGGCTCCTCTCTTTTTAAGCCAACACAATATGTATTTTTAAAGGGCAAATGCATCTTGGACCTCTAGGTTCAACACCAGCGGCAAAATTGACATGTCAGCCTTCTGTAACTTGTTGTTGAGCACTGTGGTCCTTGTCAGTGTGCTTCTGCTTGAGGCACAAATTTGAAAGCGTCCTGCTTCAAGCGGCTCCATTGATAATTGGAACGTCATGAGTAACAACAGGAACACTGACTGTACTGGGAGCCTTTTCCGGAGTAAAGCATTTCCTTAGATTATTGTATATACACCCTCCTTTTTATTGTGTGCAAATGGTTTTGGATAGTTCACCGAAGCAGATGGAATGCTTGCGTTTTGAGTGGGAGGCGTGGGGAAGAAAGAATAAAAGGCAACTGCTGTTTCTCTTGGCAGGGTCCATTTGTAGCAGCCTTTGCTTCATCAAACCTAGGAGATGTGTCCCCCAATATTCTCGGCCCACGTTGCGCCAACACGGGAGAGTCCTGTGATAACGCCAACAGCACTTGTCCCATTGGCGGGGTAGGTACCTATGCCAGGAAATCTTCGCTTTTGCATGTCATGTATCTTTTATGTTTGAAGATTCATCGTTCATTGACAGGTAGGTTTTCCTCAAGTACACATCGGCCTATTTACCTCTATCAACTGTTCTGCTCAAAAGCACCCACGAAATGCCAATGAGATAAAATTATAATTTTCTATGCGATTGTGAAGTTTTTTGAATGGTGAGGCAATTTAGGAAATGTCAGAGATTAAATATCCTTCCCCAAGCGTGGGCCCCTGAAACATGATGCCTGGGCATTTCTGCGGAAACAGTACCCCAAACTGACTGCCCGAGACATTGCTCACTGATTAGTAAAGCTATGGATTAAAAAAAACAAGCACACACACAAAAACAATATAAGATAATTTTTTTCTTTTAAAATTGCAAAAATCTTGCTGTCAGAACTCCAACGATAAGAAAGCATAGAGAACAGTCAAAAGTGAAAGACCCTATCACCTCTGTTCTGCCCCACCCCTTCCAGCAGTTACCTGTGGAATGACTTCCTATGTATTTGTCTGCGTAACCACAAACAACATTTGTAACTTACATACTGATTTTTTTTATTGGTCCAGGATTTCAGTTTCCCACTCAACTTTGTCTTAAAAATGTTTTTATGACTATATGCGGATCAGTGTGGCAAGTTTCAAAGACAAATGAGGCTGCACCATCATTTATTTAACCCCCCCAACCCTCCCAGATCATTTCGATTATTCCGCTTGGACATGAGCAGCAGATGCCAATTTCTGGGTCTTATTCTTTGTGTTTAAAGAACATTTCACCTGTAATATTGCTTTTATTTAACACTATTTCTGGGCTATTTACTTTATTCCAATCAACCCCACCCAAGGAGCAATACAGTTTCAACAATTACACTTTTCTGTTATATATTGCTATTTTTATGTAGAAAGTATTCTGTGTTACCCTTTATTTGCAACATTTCTACACATTATTAATTCACAGTAGATTTGATAACTACTTACTAAATTACAAAATTCATAGATGAGATGGTTAAAACATTTTATACTTATTTGCAGCAGAACATTATGCATCAACTTAATGTCTTCGGTTGAAATACTTAAAGTGGGAAAAACTCATAATACATGATGTTGACTAAAAAAAATCAGGATTTAATAATGTATATTCATTGTGATTGCAGTTTTGAAAATCAGTGTATCATTGTAAAAAGACAAAGTGAAACATTGACTGAATTGTTGACTATGATGTTCTCTTTTTGATACTATTATAAATAGGTTTCATTTTAGTTATTTTGTACTTATTTTTTATTTATACATTTTGTTATTTTTTACGATGAGCATAGTTTACTTTATAGTCTGAAAAAATTACAACAAAGTCATGCCCCCTCCCCCAGTAGAATTCTGTTTTCCTCTGCTCCCCTCGATGCATTGGGTCGAGTCAGCTTCCCTCAGGTTTGCAGGACTGCAGGTGGCAGTAAGGAAGGGGTATGCTCCCCTCCTCCCACCCCCATATAAAGTAGGAGAGAGAGAACTTCTCCAACATAGAATAAAAGTTCTCTCTTATCTGATTGGGTCAATTTCTGTCACATGTCCATCCCTGGAACAAAATAGTTGCTGGGGGAATGGTATGTGCTGAGTGGCTTAGGTTGGGTTCCTGGCCAATCTTAGCAAGGCCTAGAGCCTTAGACTTACCAGGAACAAGGAATGGGAACATTGACCATAAGGCGGGAGATGGCTTTCTGAAGAAAGTCAGGATTCACATAAGAAAGGGGAAGAGGGAAGGAAACAGGCAGATGCTGCCATGCCTTCTGCTTTAATGTGGGTTCTTTAAAAACACAACAGCCTAAGTTTAGGAAAAGGTTTTAATATGTTTTAGGAAAAAATATATGCTTGTTACACATTCAAATAATATGGAAAAGTTCAGAAAATAAAACTATGAAAAGGAGCACCCCTCATCCCATAAATTAACCTGTTAAAATTTTAATGAACTTCCAGATATTTTGTGCATCCATGCATATATATGCATGTAAAATTTTATGTAAGTGGGATCACACGGCAATGCTAGTCTATAACTTGCTTCCTTATTTCCAATAAATGTGCTTTAAAACATCATTTAACATCCTTCTGTGCCTGGCAAGTGTGGCTCAGTGGTTGAGCATTGTCCCATGCACCAGGAGGTCACGGTTTGATTCCTGGTCAGGGCACATGCCTGGGTTGTGGGCCCAATCCCCAGGAGGGGGTGTGCAGGAGGCAGTCAATCAATGATTCTCTCTCATCATTGAAATTTCTATCTCTCTCTTCCTCTTTATTGAGATATAATTGACATATGACCTTGTGTAATTTAAGGTATATAAGGTGGTGATTTTGATATACATATAAGATGCTTTTACTGCCCTGGCCAGTTTGGCTCAGTGGATAGAGCGTTGGCCTGCAGACTCAAGGGTCCCAGGTTCGATTCCAGTCAAGGGCATGTACCTTGGTTGCGGGCACATCCCCAGTGGGGAGTATGCAGGAGGCAGCTGATTGATGTTTCTCTTTCATTGATGTTTCTAACTCTCTATCCCTCTCCCTTCCTCTCTGTAAAAAAATCAATAAAATATATTTTAAAAAGATGCTTTTTACTGCAAATAAGAGATAATTTAACTCAATATGGATGAACCAGAAGGTATTAATAAAGATATTTTTCTTATTGACTTTTCTAAGTTCCTAATATTTTAAAGTCTTAGTTTGTCATAAACAATACAACCCCCCCCCCTTGATTTGTCAGTTGTCTTTCAGCTTTACTTATGTTTTCATTTTCCACATATGAATATTTAAAATGTTTGTTGTCAGATGTATTTAGCCTGTTCTATATAATTTTAGAAGGGTCTTCTATACCCTTAAGACTTTAAAATATATGCACTCTTGTTTTCAATACTTTTTATTTCATTTGTAATATTGAAACATCTGATTAATCTCAAATTATTCTGATGTAAGAAATAAGGTATAGAGTCATACTTATTTACTGATTTTTTCCCCCTGACGGTCAGCTAGCTTTTCCAATATAATTTTAACTGAGTTTCAGTTTAAGGTGATCATGACCAAGAGCCACAGGCAAGAACAAGCAAGTAGAGACGTGTGCAGCCAATGGAGAGATGTGGAGTTAGGTCTTAGCTATCTGAATAATCTTTGGCAAACCCTCTAACACACGGAACCTCATTTTCCTTATTTTTAAGTTAAGTGCTGGAATAGATGATTTCTAAAGGTGTTCGCTGCTCCAATTCAATTAATGCTTTTGTTTTTCGTAACCTATAAGTTGAGAGAATATCTGAAAAGAAAAGCTATAATGTGTCTTAAAATTATAGTTGCTTAGATTCACTTGTAATTGTCCATTTCTTAAAATAATTGCTTTTTAAAAAATACATTTTTATTGATTTCAGAGAGGAAGGGAGAGGGAGAGAAAGATAGAAACATCAATGATGACAGAAAATCATTGATCAGCTGCCTCCTACACATCCCCTACTGGGGATCAAGCCTACTACTCCGGCATATACCCTGACTTGGAATTGAACCCTGACCTCCTGGCTCATAGGTTGATGCTCAACCACTGAGCCATACCAGCCAGGCATAAAATACTTGCTTTATTCACCAAGAACACATCTGTCTCATTTTGTTCAAGGCTACCATGTGCATGGCTAGGGGACCTGGACAGGATATGATCGACAGCACACGAATTATAGGACGGGCCCTATACCAGAGAGCTACGGTAAGCCGTGCACCCACTCTTTGATCTTCATTTAAAACTAGAGGCCTGACGCATGAAATCTGTGCAAGGGGCTCAGCCCTTGCAGCCCCGGCTTCGTCCGGAAGGTCGTCCAGAAGGGGTTGTCTGAAAGGTCATCGGGACTGTCGTTCTGCTGTTCAGTCTATTAGCATATTAGCTTTTTATTATATAGGATTATATAGGATTGTTCTTGAAGATCTGCTGACGTTGTTCTTTAGGAAGTCCCTAACTGTGAGGAAGACAAGAGCTCAAGCAGCACCGAGGGGTCTGGAAAGCTGGTTGCTGCTGCAGGGCAGTTGGGAAGGTTTCTTGCACAAGCCACACAGGAATCTCTCTCTGACTGCCTGGTCCAACCACTTACAGGAAGTACATTTTACTTCTGCCAGAGGGCTTGCTTCGAGCAGTGGGCTGATAGCTAGATTGTAAGGTTTGCAATTAGCGTGGTATATATGACCAGACTGTTTCAGAGGCTTGGAAATCTCTCAGGGATTTGCCTGCCAAATCACTTAGCCATTTCTTTTTAAAAATCTTTATTGTTGAAAGTATTACAGATGTCCTCCTTTTCCTCCCATTGTCTCCCTCCACCTGGTTCCCTGGTTCCCATCCTGCCCCACCCCAGGCCTCCACCAACCTATTGTCTGTGTCCATAAATGATGCATATATGCACATAAAATCTTTGGTTAGTCTCTTCTTAGCCCCCTCCTTCCCTCTGAGATTCATCAGTGTGTTCCATGTTTTCGTGCCTCCGATGCTATTTTATTCATCAGTTTATTTTGTTCGTTAGATTTCTTCTTTGTTTATTTTGATTTTTAGATTCAATTGCTGATAGGTACATATTTATTTTATTGTTCATATTTTTAATCTTTTCTTCTTCTTCTTCCTCTTCTTAAAGGATACCCTTCAACATTTCACATAATACTGGTTTAATGGTGATGCATTTCTTAACTTTTCCTTCGGTGACAATGCAAAGCTGAGCCCCACAACTCACTGCTCTCACAATTTGGATTCAAATGAGTTCTAGTCTTCTTTGATATGGCAAAGATCATCCATGTTATCTTAACTTTTTTTTTTTTTGATGAGGGAACCTGGTCTACAGCAAGATTACTATGATTTACTCTAGTCTCTTCCCTCTTCTAAATTTGATCCTTCATTTAGTCCCATTTTATGTGTCAGCTTCAATGGAGAGATTTCTGACCTAAACGATGAGCTGGAGAGTTGAGATATCTCTGATAACGAGAGTTAAGTCTCTTCCTTTTCATAGCTTACTTATACCTTTGTTCTACACACACGCGGGTGCGTGTGAGTGTAAGTAAATATTTTGTTCCAATGGTTCTAAAATGTTTCAGCAGCAATTAAGGAAGATCAAAAGCACCTTTAAAAACACCAGACACTAGCCAGCCCTAATTGCTGCAGTTTCTTTTTAATTACTGCGGTATTATCAGTGGATTGCTCTAAATTAACAGATTCTATTTAGGGAGTGCATCTGTGACACAATTAGGTGTCAGAAATTTTGTTATCTTTCTGGGCCTGGGAGCCAGAGGGATTTGTCCCACATTCTGCATTCTCTTCTCAGCGAGGCACAACTGGCCTCCTCACCAGGGAGGCAGCTGCATCTGGGGTCACTCAGCTCAGAGCTCCCAGGGGGCAGTTGAAACGGGGATGGTGTGGAAATGAGTTAGGTCTCCGGCAAAGGGACTTGTACTGAAGCACGATTTGCCTCTGTTGTATACAGATCAGTAAAAACATTTCTAATCATGGGTTGACTCACTTTTCCCATAAGGTTGAAAAAGCATCAGTTGACCACATTGGGGGGAAAAAAGATCCTCAAAGAGCAGCGGGGTGTTAGGGGGGTTTATGCAGATAAAGTGGGGCCTGAAGTTTTCAAGCCGCCCTTTGGCATCTCCTCAAGCCAGCCCTGCCAGAGGACTCAAGGACTGAGAATGCCCGAGGATACACTCTTGTTCTGGCGAAGAAACTCACGCAGCCCTCCTACTTCTAATCTCACATTTTCTTGACCGTCTTTCCAGTGAGATTGGGGCCTTTTGAGCCACATCCTGGATCACTACGGGTTCATCTTTGTGGGGAAAAGCACGGGTCAGCCATCCAGGGCCTTCCATCTTCAGGGAAGCAACAGGGTGGCAGAGAGATCACCTGTGTAGTGGCTACTGCTATGGACCCAGCAGAATAAAACTTGTCTGAGAGATCCTTCTCCCAATTGGTACTTACTGGATGCAGTGGTAATGTTCATTTTAGCTCTTAACAGTGAGCGTCTGTGGGTTTTCTAGGCGCTGTATGCCTTGGCTTCCCAGGAGTTAACTGGACCACTGACTTCGGCTCATCAGTGGGTGAATATGACAGACGTCACCGTCTCACTCAATTCCACACACACGGTAGGTGTTGCTGAGTCACACTGACCATGCCACAAGGGGAAAGCTCAGGGCTGATCTCATCATTAGTGGAAGCTTAACTTCTGTTTCTTTTTTCCTCTTTTGTTCTAAACATCTTTCCTTTAGGCAAAGACATGTAAGCCAGCGCTGGGCTACAGTTTCGCAGCTGGCACGATCGATGGACCTGGGACCTTCAACTTCACGCAGGGTGAGGTGCAGACGAATGGAACCTGTGGTCCCAGCTTCTGGAGCTTTGGGGTTGTGTCCCTGAGGAGGGTTTACATGTGGCCAATACATTGACTGTATTTCTTTCTAAATCCAGGGGTGTGCAGGGACTCCAGGTTTGTGCATGACAACCAGATTTCCCAGGGACGGGTGTCTACCGTCACTCAGCTTTCCACGCATTCAAGTAGAATCAGAGACAAATCCTCTTTGTGTTTTAGTCTGTGGGAGAATAATTTCAAATTGTGCTTGGGCTGGCCCGGGGGGGGGGGGGGCGTTGGGGGTGCGGGAGGGAGGTGTCATTGTACCTTCAACAACATGAGTCGGCTCTTCCCATTGGTTATTAGTGTCCCTTTTCCTTGTCCTGTCACGGAAGACAAAATTCCTCAGGGTAGAGGCCTTTAGGAGCCTAACGCGTGAGGCCCCAGGTCCCCTTCCTGTGTATATTTCCAGGATCTTCCTTAATTTATAACTGATTGTTTTAGGTTTTATAACTTTATCCTGATTTCACTGTAATAATAGGCTTTGGTTTATGTACTTTGGTGCTCCTTTATTAGACCCACATACGTTTATAATTGTTATATTTCCCTAATGGATTACAGATTCTAAGTCGATAGGTTTTGTAGTTAACATAACATTCCCCCAGGTTATGGATCTTAGGCAAGGTTTTTGTGTTTTTTTCTGATTGTGGGTATGTGTGTAGATAAGTAAGTGGGGATTAAAGAGAGGCTTTTTCAGGGACCCCAAGCCAAACATCTAACACTTCAAATTGGAGGTGTCATTTTTAGTTTTCAAAATGGAAAGTCTACAGTAAATTGTGCCATACTGTTTTTACTTGAAATGTGGAAGAGAAGGAGCAATAGAAACAAAAGTTCAAGGATGTTGAGCAAAACATATTCTTTTAGTCTATCAACCACACTGAAGATCTAATTAAATAATGGCTCCTATTTTAGGATGCACAGGAAATTTTGCTTCTTCCATTATTCAGACTGTCTTGGAATCGTTAAATAACAATCTTAGTGAAATCTCTGAGACTCCTGAAAGCATTGTTGTACAACAGCTGTCAAAATGACGACATTTTCTCCAGAGGCTTGGAGTCATATCAATTAAAACATTCCTAACAGGGACAACAGTATCAGATCCATTTTGGGACACTCTTCGGGATCAGCTCTTTGGCAGGCCCTCTGATGAAATGAAAGAGTGTCAGAAACCAAAGCCCGTCCTTATTCACACTGGAGAGGTAAAGCATTTTTTGTTATCACGGTGAAATTAGTGTATTGCTTTTTAAAATTTATGAATTGTCGGATGTGAATGGTATACCTATATTGGCATGGGAGGTCTTACTCAGATATTCCCACATCAAAATATTTAATGTCAAAAAAGTTGCCGAAACCGGTTTGGCTCAGTGGATGGAGCGTCGGCCTGCGGACTGAGAGGTCCCGGGTTCGATTCCGGTCAAGGGCATGTGCCTGGGTTGCGGGCATATCCCCAGTGGGAGATGTGCAGGAGGCAGCTGATCGATGATTCTCTCTCATCGATGTTTCTGACTCTCTGTCTCTCTCCCTTCCTCTCTGTAAAAAATCAATAAAAAATATATTAAAAAAAAAAGTATGGATGCCATGAGTCTAAAAAATAAGGGTTATGATTATTAAATATTGTAACTTTGAATTTATGATAAATAACTGGAACAATAAGAACCCAGAGAAAGGAAGCATAAAAATAACAGTTGTCTTACATAAGATTCATTATGTTACCCTAAGGACAGGAGTTCACACAGAATTCTCTGTAGAGAACATCTCAGTCCATATAAAAAGGAACATGTCCATGTTTCCGTTTTCTCACAAGCCAGGCAATGTTATTAACCAAGGCAACATTCTTTTCCTATTCCTTTGGAACATGGATTTTCACATTCTAAATGTCAAAGTGCGATGCCAGTGTTTATAATATGAACTGTTGATGTAGAAAACAATTTAATCGAGTTTTTTCCCCTAATATTCAATTAAAATTCTTCAGGCAGAAGAGAGGAAAGGGAAGGAATAGAGGGAAAGATTCTACACTAATGTGAGCACGGAAAAGGATAGATTTTCTTGGAGAAAAGGTGGAAAGTAACTGAAAATTTGAAGTGCTTTCAGAGTAAGAAGTTATTAAGTGGAGCTAATCCAAATGATCAAGTCACTTATTTTTTGTGTATGAGGAGAGTCACCACTGTGCTCTAGTAGGTCCTTGGTCGTCGGTTACACATTGTGATTCCACACTGACAGATCCACCAGACATCATTGATGAGGAAATATGTCCAGGTTAATGGGGCATTGGCATTTGAGATTAACATGTTATGACTAGATAAAACATTTAATGTTATATCATGAATTAGAAATAAAATCTATGGTGGCAGGAGACACCCAAAGCAGGTGGAAACATTTTGCATCCTTCAATAAACTTCTGTCATCATCACAGGTCTCTTGATCATAGAAAGAATAATATTCCTAACACAGTGTTCATATTTTGGGTTCTTAGCTGTCCAAACCTCATCCCTGGCACCCGGATATTGTTGACGTTCAGATCATTACTCTTGGGTCCTTGGCCATAACTGCTATCCCTGGGGAGCTTACGTAAGTCCTTCTTTTTCATTTTGTAGTTTAAAAAATGTAATTATTGGGGCCTGGCCAGGTGGTCCCCTACTCCAAAATGTTTGGGTTCGATTCCCAGTCAGGGCACAGACGTAGGTTTTGGGTTCGATCCTTAGATGGGAAACAACCGATCTCTCTCTCTCTCTCTCTCTCTCTCTCTCTCTCTCTCTCTCTCTCTCTCTCTCCCTCCCCCCCCCCCCAATTCTTCCTGACTTCAGGCTCACTGGCACTCTCTTTCTTTAGACTAGCTGATCAAGTGCAGCCATTCAAAGGAATAAAGACTTGATCACCTCAAACCCACCTGTATATGGGCCTTATCCAAGGAACTAGAGAGAGTCAGATGCAGCTTACTGGTAGGAGGGTATCATGTGAATAATGACTTGTGACATTTCCACCTATTTTTTTAACTGCTTTATTATTTTTTATAATGTCTCAAACCTACCACCAAATAGTCTAGTCTTTGGCAGTGTACTCCTTCTTCCTCTCTCTCTCTCTCCTTTTCTCTCTCTCAAAATTAATAAAAACATATCCTCCGGTGAGGGTTAAAAAAGAATTGCAACTTTAAGAAAAAGGTAGTTATTGTATATGTGTTTCTGTTGGGGTCACTTATCATGGGCAGGTAATTCTGCACTGACCCCTTTGTATCTCACCGTGTTATATTTGGCATCGCTGACAAATATTCCCACCCTCTGGTGGTGGGACCTCAGGAGAATAACCCTCTCCATGCTTGTTACTAGTGTGTAACTTGAAGCAAACATAAACATTTGAAAACGTATCCTTCCAAATTAAAATGATGGGAATTGTGATGTCAGTAGAAAGACTTGACATAATATTAAAATACAGACTCTTGAAATAATTACTTTAGGTTTTAAAAGCATGAAAGAATGTTTTAAGTCTCCTCCTCATGCAGTCTTTCCTATCTTAGTAAGAGGCAAGTGTATAGCTTTCCTGTGGCTCAGGCCTAAATCTAGGAGTCATCCCTGAATTCTTTCTTTTTCAATTTCCCTCACTTTCTATCCTTCAGCAAATTCTGTATGTTCTTCCCAATACTTTCTATTACTGTCCCCTGTCCCTCCCCCTCTCCCCCCACCCCCAACCTAAGCAACCATTATTTCTCCCTGTCTTGCCTTCTTGCTCCCTCCCTTTCTTCTCTAGAGTGTTTTATCAACACCACAGCTGGAGGAAGCCCTTTAAAACACAAGTTAAACCATGTCCTGCTCAAAACTCTCTACTGGCTTCCCATTTCACTCTAGGTGAATCCTCAGACCCTTATAGCTTAAGGGCACTATATGATCTCAGCAATGCTCGTTGGTCTGATTTCATCCGACTCTCCCCTCTCTCCCCTGCTTCAGCCACTTTGGCTTCATTGCAGTTCCCAGACTCATCAAGCATGCTTCTGTCTTAGCACTTTTGAATTTATGGTTCCGTCTCCCTGAAACACTTGCGCTCCAGTAATCCCCATGGCCAACTCTTTTATTCCTTCAGTTCTCTGCTCAGAGCTCTAACAGAGATGCCAGTCCTGCCTATACTATGTAACATTGTCTTCATCCACCACCACCTCCACCAACACCACTGCCACATCACTACAGCATCAGCACCACCACTTCCACCACCACTGCCACCACCACCACCACCACCACCACCACCACCAACTCCACCACCGCCACCACTGCCACCACCAACTCCACCACCACCACCACCACCACCACATCACTACAGCATCAGCACCACCACTTCCACCACCACTGCCACCACCACCACCACCACCATCACTACAGCATCCACACCACCACCATCAGCACCACCACTGCCACCACCAACTCCACCACCACCACTGCCACCACCACCACCACCGCCACCACCACCACATCACTACAGCATCAGCACCACCAACTCCACCACCACCACCACTGCCACATCACTATAGCATCCGCACCACCACCATCAGCACCACCACCACCACCACCACCAACTCCACCACCACCACCGCCACCACTGCCACCACCAACTCCACCACCACCACCACCACATCACTACAGCATCAGCACCACCATCACCACCACAATGACACCACCATTCCCTTTCATTCTTTAACCTACCTTATATTCTTCATAGCACTTATTGTCATCTCCCTTCTTAATTTGCTTATTGACCCTGTCTTCCCTAGAATGTTAGCTCCACTCTGCTAATCCTTAGTATTTAGAAGTAGGCCTGGTATGTAGTAGGTGCTCAGAGTTTTATGAAGGATTAAATTAATGAATAAAATGGTAAATTCTTTGCGGCAGGAACAATATACTCTCTACTTGCCTTAGCTCTTATTAACAAAGAACATAACCAATATATTTTGTTGAATCAATGAATGGAAAATGATTGTGATCTTTTGCTAGTGATATTTATTGATTGATTTTCCCTCCTTCAAGTTATCTGTTTTCATTTTAGAATTTGTTTTGAAGATATGACAGCCAGGAAAAAGGCTCACCTTTAGCTTAGCTTTGTCATTGAGTCCCTACATACTTTACGACTGTGTAATGAGTCAGGATAACATTTTTTGTTTTATTACATGTCATTTTGCATACTTTGCACACCTTCTAAGTAGGAAAACACTTAGATAATTCTGTTTTCTTCACTCAGGACCATGTCTGGACGAAGACTTCGGGAGGCAATTAAAGCAGTAAGTTAAAAATAAAATAACATCTATGCATTTATATTTGGTGAAGAGAATTCTCTAGCTATATGATCTAATACCTTTTAAATTAATCTTTGCTAAAATAACTAGAGATTTACACTTCTTGAAAGTAATGGCTAGAGGTAAATATGAAATATTGGTGTTATAAGAATAAGTTAAAAAATATAAGGGAACTATAGTCAGGTTAAAATATTTTATTGATATTTATGTATTAATAATTTAAAACTTAATAATGATTTTATGGATTAAATGGTAAATAACCCCTGAGTATATTAATATCTTAAAGTCTTATCTAAATGAAATCTAACACATACTGATAATTCTGTGTTTTATTTATAATTATGATTTTATTTATATTGAGGAAGTATTGTAAATGGTTCTAAAATGTCATCATCAGCAAATGCCTTATTACTTGGGCCTGGGAATAGCTGCTGTCATTAGCTAGTAACCTCCCATTATACTTTTATAGGAAACCTCCCATTATACATTATACTTTTATAGGAAATTAATAAATATCTTTATTTTAGTAATAAGATTCTACATCTGCAAATGCAATCATTAAGATGTTCACAGATCCATTGATTTGTCCAACTATGGTGCAGAATTATGGCTCTAACTTTTATCCAGGACTCTCTGATACTTCTGCATTCTCAGGCAGTTTTGATTAGTAGGAAGAATGTTGTTAAGAGAGACATCCTACACTAATGATTTGTATCTGTGGTTCAGTATAACTGGGATTATAATAAACTTTAAGATGAAGAGTAATTTAACTGGGCTCTACCTCTTTCCCCCTCCCAGGAGTTTGCAACTTATGGGATGCAGAATATGACTGTTGTTATTTCGGGTCTGTGCAATGTATATACGCATTACATTGCCACCTATGAAGAATACCAGGTAAAGTAAAACGTCTTTATCATTTAAGTGAAATATACCCTGGCCAACACTATTGTATTAAATGCAGGTTTTCTTTCTAGACTTACTTAATCATGTTTTTGAGAGATGACTTTGTTTTAGGACAGATAAGAGAATGATAAGCTAGAAGTTGTGTTTGGTGGTTCTAGGTTGACCATTTACAAGTTCAGGTTAGAAATCTAGTCTCACTGGCTTTCACTTTTCCTGAAATAAGTTATTTTGTCAGGAGCCCTGGTTGTAAGTTTGGGTTGTGGCATGCAGCATTCCTAACTCTGTCCCTCATGCTTCTGGTGCCTTAAGTTTGTGTAGGACCTTGAAATGCTCCCACTGCTGGTTACCATTTATTGAATGCATTAGCTGAACAGCTTGCAAATGTGATCTTAACTAGTCCTCATAATAAGCCCTGCAGCAAGATATTATTATATCCACTAGAGGCCTGATGCACGAAATTTGTGCAAGAGTGGACCTTCCTTCCCCCTGCTGCCGGCACTGGCTTCCCTCTGGCACCTGGGACCCGGGCTTCCTTTGCAGCCCTGGCTTCATCTGGAAGGTCATCTGGTCTAATTAGCATATTATGCTTTTATTATTATAGATGGTATCCCGTGGTCGGCAAACCGCGGCTCGCAAGCCACATGCGGCTCTTTGGCCCCTTGAGTGTGGCTCTTCCTAAGCCTTAGGAGTACCTTAATTAAGTTAATAACAATGTACCTACCTATATAGTTTAAGTTTAAAAAATTTGGCTCTCAAAAGAAATTTCAATCGTTGTACTGTTGATATTTGGCTCTGTTGACTAATGAGTTTGCCGACCACTGGTATAGACTAAGCAACAGAGTCACAGAGAATTTAGGGGAGGCTGCTGGTTGGTGATGTTTCCTTGTTTACAAATAGTACAGAAAGTAGCCCAAATACTTTTTAACAATAGTAATTAAAAAACATGAGGATAGTTTAGAGTCTAGCAACTAATGGTTTCTAATGTGTTTGCAGTCCATACCCAGGCATGTAGTCTACCCCGTGGCAAATGTTCAGTGATATCAGCAGTGGAATCTGCTTCATGCCCTCTGTTGACTTTATCAAATGGCCCCACTTTCTAGGAAATCCTGTTGAATAAAGGTTCTTAATTTGGGTAAATTTGAATGGGAATACTTTTTAATTTACTCATTTTTTATTTATCTGTAACTATTTATTATTTAGCATTTCCTCCAATTATGAATATAGGTGACAAATGACAATAATATTAGCAGTATCTCTGACTTTGTCACCAATAGGAACCACAGATATTTTTAATATCACACACCATTATTTAAGATCTGGGAATATCTTTTACTCTCATCCCTATTTTATTTTACTTTTATTTTTATTTTTTTAAAATATTTTATTGATTTTTTACAGAGAGGAAGGGAGAGAGATAGTTAGAAACATCAATGAGAGAGAAACACTGATCAGCTGCCTCCTGCACATCTCCTGCTGGGGATCTGCCCGCAACCCAGGTACATGCCCTTGACCGGAATCGAACCTGGGACCCTTCAGTCCGCAGGCCGACGCTCTATCCACTGAGCCAAACCGGTTTCAGCTCATCCCTATTTTAAAATCACAGTAGTGATTAAAGTTATTGCTAAATCTTGTTGTTCAATAAAGAAGCACAAACATTATCTATCACAAAGTTGGTTTATTAGTGCGTGATTAATGTATTTCATTCTAATTAGTTGCCTTTGTCAACTCATGCATTTTATTTTATGCACTTATAAATATTAATCTGAGAAGGGTCCATAGGCCTCAGTAGATGATCAAAGGAGTTCATGGCACAAATACAAGCTTATCTCCTGGTTCAGGGACATGCTCCTGCAAGGATTGGTATTAATTAGTTAATTTATTTATTCACTCATTCATTCAACAGATATGTGTTGAGACATGCAGTAGTAGCCACTATCTGGGCATAAAAATGAATAAGAATCTGCCCCTGTCCTCAAGACCACTAGAATTTATGGTCGAGTAAAAGAGAAGAAAGCAGATGATTACATTTCTGTGAAAGGGATGCACAAAGTGTATGAAAAGAGAGAGAGAGAGAGAGAGAGAGAGAGAGAGAGAGAGAGAGAGAGAGAGAGAGAGAGAGACCCATCTAGACTAAGTCTTTGAGCATGGGGACTGGCAGATTTTTGGAAGATGTAACATTTGTCTGAGTTCTTGAGAGTGAGTAAGGGCTAATTGGCAAATAAAAGTTAGGGGAGGTGTTTAATAATGGAGGGAGCTATATATGCAAATGTCCAGAGGGGTTGACAGTACATTTAAGAGGCCATGATTAGTTGAGTTCCGCGGAATAAGCATGATGAGCGTAGTGAGACAGGGGCTAGAGTGCAAGGCAGGGTTAGTGAAGAGTCTTTTATGCTATGCTACAGAGCATTGCCTCAAGAAGGAAGGTTTTGGGGAACTGTAGAACTCAACGGAATGTTCTTATCAAATTTGTGACTTAGAACGGTCACGAGGATGGCAGTGCAGAACATGAATCCAAAGAGCAAGTGTGGAGACAGAACTGATTAAGAAGCTGTAGCAATTGGGGTGAGAGGTAAGCGTTTGGCCAAGGTAAAAGCAGTAGAGACAGAGGAAAATGAAAGGAGTCAAGAGATTTTAAGGAATGAGGACTTGGAGACTCATAGGAGGTAGGATGGGGGAGAGGAACCTGATGCCAACCAGCTAGTCCTGGCGCCGGAGACAGGAAGGCTGGCCTTCACTGAGATGAAGAACATCGCAGGGAAAGCTGGTGTGTTTGGAGTGAGGAGCTCCATTTCAGATCTGATGAATTTGAGGATTCTGGGAAACAACCAAAGGCTTGGAGCTCAGGCAAAAGGAGATGTATTTGGTTCTATTGTATAGCTTTATGGCAGGTTAAAATTTTCCCCTGCTATACTCCTCAGGGGAAAACATTTCTATTACAACTACTTAAAATAGACATACGTGCGGGAGCTACACTCAGATTAAATGTAATCTGAATGTAGTATCTACATTCAGATTAAATGGACTGACAGGCCAAATGGCACAAGCCATGAGGAGCCACTGCCTTTAGCATGTAGTTGATGGGAGCCATGTACTTTAGCTGGTAAGTGAAAATGCCTCCCCCCTCTGCCTTTGTCATCATTAATCTGGATTTGTGCCAGTTTGAATTACACACGCTGTCTGAGCAGTACCCCTCACCTAAGTGTGACACCTCTGTAAGTGGATTGAAATAAGCAGAATGGTGTACAACACGGCCTTGCCTTTCCTGCAGGTTCAGCGCTATGAGGCAGCATCTACAATTTATGGACCACACACCCTGTCTGCTTACATCCAGCTCTACAGAGGCCTTGCTAAGGCCATTGCTACGGTAATCAAAAATTTTACACGTGTGTGTCTCAGAGGTGGGGAGATACAGAGGGAAGCAAAATAAGAACTTTAGCTGTGAGTGTTCAGTTTTTTAAAAAAAACCTTTATATTAATATATATATATATGAGGTATTCCTAAGAAATGGAACAGAGAGTAAATTTGGATTTAGTAAATGCCTTTTGATGGTGGTAACCACTATTGTATAATACCATCAGAGCCCCAGGACGGTGTAAAACAATTATGGCATAGCAAAGACAGTAAAGGCCTTTTAAAGGAAGAGCTTGGATTTATTAAATTGAAAGAAATGAAATGATTGTTTCTGTAGTTGAATACTGGCAATTTCATATGCCTCCATCTAATTAATTGCTTACTGTGTGTGTGTTTGAAGTTTCAATACCAGGTATTAGGATATAATTTTGATTATTGTTTCATCATAAGGTTCTTAATTTGAGCTTTGATACATTTTTTCAAAGTAGAACTATTTTATTTTTCATCATAGAAGCTATAACTATTTGTAGATTATTCAGATTACATAGAAAAGTATAAATTTATGACCCATCCTTAGAGAAAACCACTGTTTAACTTTCATTGTTATCATAGGTCTATAGCTCTTCCTATGGAAATAGAGTCTTCAAATTTTAGAGTGGTATTTAGGAAGAAAAGTGTGAATCATTTTGTGGAAATTTGTTTCACAGTTTTATGGTTATGTATCTAAGACTAGCTATGCGATCTTGAAAAACTACTCCAAGCCTATATTCTCATTTGTAGTATGGGAGTGATAATAGATTATATGGCTGCTGTAAAAATTAAATATATCAAGTGATTATGAAAGTATATTAAATCCATATGGGGGCTATTTAAAATTTGAAGTTAACATTTTGATGATATTATTAAAGGTGGCAAGTTTTGTGGAAAACACATTAAACCAGTTGGGATATCGGCTGGTCTTAACTTTTAAATTAACAATATATTTATTATATTTTTAAATCAGCACAGAGGAGGATTTAGAAAAAAAAATCTTGGTACTGATTCTGGATAAGAGAGGCTAAACACTTTGTAAAAATTAAAAGACTGACTACAGTGTCATGTTATGAAAGCTTATCATGTGTTAGACTCCTGTTCAAAGTCACACATTTGAAAAATGGCTCTCCTGGAATCTGAAGAGTGCAACATGCTTCCAAGCTTACACTGTGGTCACTGAACTATGCTGCTTAGGGAAGTGAAAGTGTTGCCTACGACCAAAACTGTCTTTTAGTGACAGAAGTTTACCTTATGCACATCTAGGCTCACATTTTAGCAGGGGTGCCCCTCACACTTTGTTAAAGTAGTTAGCTCTTGAAGGGAGAAATTGAGAGAGGGAGAGAGGGAAGGAGGGGGGATAGATTTCTTTAATGAAGGCATTCCTGGGGATGGGGAACTTGGGAAAGAGTCTTTGTCTCTTCGTTTGTGCACTCCTTAAGCAAATGTTCTCTGTTCTAGGACACGGTGGCCAATCTGAGCAGAGGTCCAGAGCCTCCATTTTTCAAAGAACTGATAAAACCATTAATTCCTAATATCGTGGATAGAGCACCAATAGGCAAGAACTTTGGGGATGTTCTGCAGCCATTGAATTCTAAATACAGAGTGGTAAGATTCACCAAGAGATCTTGGAAAGCTTGAGGCCTGTGTTTGGGGGGGGGGGGGGGGTGCGGGGAAAGGTGTTGTTAATGGCACCACCTGCCTCTAACGATGCTATTGATCATCAGCTGTTAGCAACAATAATTTTGGTAATTGTTTTTATCTCTGTAGAGGCTCTGCAAACATGATAATGGGGAAATAATTATTTTTCAGGTGGTAATTATGTAAAATTGAATTTCTAAAATCCCAATTATTCTTTTTTCTTCTTAAATGGATGGTTATAGAATTATTCATTGGAGCTCAGAAAAGTTGTCTCATAAATCAAGGATAGGAAAAGCACACAGAAATGAATCAGGATTTTACCACTTCTATTTTATATTAACTGTCCAATCCTATATAATAAAACCCTAATATGCAAATCGACCTAACAGCGGAATGACTGGTGGAACAACCGGTCACTATGACACACACTGACCGCCAGGACAGCTCCTGCGTTGAGCATCTGCTCCCCTAGAGGGAGGTGACCAACCGCAGCAGCGGCGATTGGGGGATGGGAACGGCCAGCTGGTGGCGCCAGCAGGGGCCCCCCAATTGCCCCGCCAGCCAGTCACCCCACAGATCGGCCCTGATTGCCGGCCAGGCCTAGGGACCCTACCCTATATATTGGGAACAGTCTCTTAGATCTAAAAATTAAAATCTGGCAAGGCTACTCTAACACTGAAAAAACAGGATGATGCAGCGATGACATGCATGGACCCTGGCTTGCACATTTTGTGGTCAGCCCTGATTCTGACACTTACAACTGTGTGACAAAGCCAATTACTTAACTTCTCTCTGCTTCAGTTTTTCTGCCCATAAGATGGGGAAAATGGTACTACTGCCTCAGAAGGATCATGTTATATACTACTTTTTATAATCAGGGCAAAAAAATGTAGCATACAGCAGCAAGATGCCTTTCATCTGTATGAAAAGTATGGTCAGTGGTGCATGCAGCATCCTGGATTGTGAGAGGGATGTCCAACTGCCAGTTTAGGCTCGATCTCTGGGCCTAAACTGGCAGTTGGGGACATCCCCTGAGGGCACAGGCCACCTGAGGGACATGCCCCCCCCCCCCCGCAAGAATTTCATGCACCAGGCCTCTAGTTTATGTATAATGTCCTTCAACTTTGCTAAATTATTTATTAGTTCTAGAAGATTTTTTTTTTTGGGGGGGGGATTGAGTCCTTAGAAATGTTTACATATAATATCATATTATTTATGGATAAAAACATGTTTAATTTTTCTCTTTGGATTTCTTTTCTGGATGCTTTTATCCCTCTGTTTCTCTACCCCCCTTATTGCACTGGCTAGAATTTCCCAAGACAACGTAGAACTGAAGTTGTAACACTCAACTTCCTTGTCTTATTTCTAATCCTTGGAAGGAAAGTGTTCAGTAATTAAGGGTAATTTTTGTTAGGTAAAGGGCATATATACAAGTTTCCTTCTATTCCTAGTTTGCTGAGAGTTTTTGTGAAGAATGGTTGTTGGATTTTTTCAGATGGTTTTCTATGTCTACTGAAATGATCATGTGGTTTTTGTCTTTCATTCTATTAATATGGTGTATTGCATTAGTTGACTTTCAGATATTAAATAAATATTCATTAGGTATGGCATACGTATTGTTTAATTTGGTTTGGTAATATTTTGCTAAAAAGTTTTGTATTCATCTCCATGATGGATATTTGCAGACTCTTTTCATGTGTGGTCTTTATCTGCTTTTGGTATCAGGGTAACATTGGTCTCAAGGAATGAGTAGGGAAGTGTTCCCTCCTGTATATTCTGAGAATGTGTGCAGATTCGTATCATTTCTTCTTCAAATATTTGATGAGATTTATCAGCAGAACCATATGGACCTGGGCTTCTCTTTATGACAAAATTTTAAATTATTAACTCATTTCCTTTAGTTGGTATAGGCCTATTCAGATTTTCTATTGTCTTTGGGTATCTGTGTCTTTCTAAGAATTTGCATCTTTCAAGGAATTTTCCCCTTTCATAGAAATTGTCTAATTTGTCGGGACAAAGTTGCTTATAATATTCCCTTATAATCCTTTTAATTTCTGTAGGGTCAGTAATGGTGTCCACTCTTTCTTCCTGAATTTGGTAATTTGTATTTTCAAAGGTCTTAAGCTTCATTGATTTTATCTATTGTTTTTCTGTTTTCTATTTCATTGATTTTCCTCTCAGGTTTTTTATCCTTCCTTCTGCAAGCTTAGATTTTATTTTGTTCTTTTTCTTATTTCTTAAGTTGGGAGCTTAGGTTATAGTTTAGTGTACTTTTATCCCTCTGTTTCTCTTCTCAACACTCTATTCTCAATACTTTTGATAGCAGATGTGTGGAGGTTTTCTCCAAACCAAGCAATTATCTAGTTTTCTGTAAATACCAACTTGGTGTCCTACAATGCAATTTAATTCTGACACTGTCTTCTTGGGGTTGGTGCAGATCCCACAGGTTAAGAGATCAGTCTCACAAGACTGCATCCCTCCCCTCACTTCAGACACCAATGGCAAATCCAAGTTGTCACCAGTGCTTCTGACCAACTGGCTATAAATTGGAGATTCCCACCACCCCCTCTTTGGGTGCCATAATTTGCTAGAATGGTTCACAGAACTCAGGAAAACAGCTTACTTACTAGATTACCAGTTTATTATAAAAGGATCAAATTCAGGGACAGCCACATGGAAGAGATACATAGGGAAAGATATGAGGGAGGAACACAAAGCTTCCAAGCCCTCTTCAGCATGCCACTCTCTAGCATCTTCATGCGTTCACCAACCTGGGAGCTCTCTGAACCCTGTGCTTTAGAGATTTTTTATGGAGGATTAATTGATTAAATAATAGGCCATGAGTCTTTCACTCACCTCCAGCCCCTTTCCCCTCTCCAGAGTTCAGTGGGTTGAAGTGGAAAGTTGCAACCCTCTGACCACATGGTTGATTCCCCTGGCAACTAGCCTTCATCCTGAGATTAGTTAGAAGCCCTCCATCACAAGTCATCTCATTAGCATACAAACAGATCATCACTTGAGAGATTCCAAAGGTTTTAGGAGCTGTGTGCCAGGAAATGGGGCAGAGACCAAATATTTCTCAACCTATGAACCAGGAGGTCACAGTTCGATTACCAGTCAGGGCACATGCCCGGGTTGTGGGCTCAGTCCTCAATGTGAGGTGTGCAGGAGGCACCAATCAATGATTCTCATCATCTTCTCTCTCTCTCTCTCTCTCTCTCTCTCTCTCTCTCTCTCTCTCTCTCTCTCTCTCTCTCTCTTCCTCTCTCTCTCCCTCTCTCACTCTTCCTCTATGAAATCAATAAAAATATTTAAAAAATAAAAAAATCTTTTATTAGAGCTCATAAAATACATTTTTATTTTCAGGGAGAAGTTGCTGAAGTTACATTTGTAGGTGCTAACCCAAAGAATTCAGCAGAAAATCGGGTAAGCATCAATGATTCTTTTTATAAATTTAAATTCACCATTTAGCCTTTCATGCACTTGACTATCCCTTTTGTTAACAATAGGAGGATTTTGCGGGTGTGGGGGAAGTTTTAGTGGGAACAGGGAATGTGGAATTGAGTCTGGAAAATAAACATAGAAAACATTTCGCTGGCTCTACTTAGGACCAAATATAGCACAATGAGAATGACATCGTCTCCCGAGAAGATGTAAATTTAAATAAAATCTCGTTTATGTATTCCATTCTAAAAATTCAACTACATTTGGTAGAATAATCAAAGGCCCAAGAGTGCAGTGTTCCTTTGGCTCCCTCCTGCTCCCTCTGGCTCCTCCCCGCCTACACTGCTGCCTCAGGTCCTGCCTCTACTGTTACAGATAATCATGGATCTCTGAGTGGGGACACTCTCCTGGCTTGGAGCCCTGATCCATGCACTTTACTTTATCTTGCATCGTCCATTTCCTATTCTTTGCTACTGACTATAATAGGATAGTTATTTATTAATCTTAAAAAATGACACATCCCTAATGTGAAAACAGATAGTATAAAAGTGCTTAAGATAGAATGTGAAAGGACCCCTCTATTCATAAACCTTTTTAGAAGTAATCACTGTTAATAGTAGGTTACATATCATTTCATACCTTTTTGTTTTATCATAAGTATATATGATGAAGTGTATATATGTTATATGTCTATTAATAAAATGAAGTAATTTTACTTCTCTGCAACTCCCTTAGAGTGTTCTTATAAGTACACAAGCAATAACCAGACACGTTCTAGTTATAAAAATTCAAAGAACAAATAAATATAGAGAAAAAATGGAATGGGTATATGAAAGTGATTTCAAGGTCAGACACTCTATTGATAAGCCATTCTTCCCAGGGCCCATTGTCACTTAGAAACCCAAATACCTTTCTTCCAAATGAGCCTTCCCACTTCTGTTCATTAAAATATTATTATTGCTGTGATAACAATTGTGGCAATATGGCATTATCTAAAGGGCATTGGGGAAAATGTTCTGCTTCGATAATTAACATATACCTGTTTGAAATAATTTCTCTAGGTATTCAATCTGTGCCAGAGATTTACATGTTTATAACATTTTTCTGAGGAGGGCAAAGTGTTGTAGTAAAACTGCAGGAGTAGCTATCACCTGATATCCTTAGGGTGGAGAAATGTTCTCATCATTATCGCCATGGAGAAGCGGAAGAGCAGAATGCTTAAAGCACTGGAGTGAGAATAAAATTATTTCCTAAGAAGGCTCTGGGACTCAGCGTAAAACAGTTTCCAGTACCCTTTATTAGTAATAATCATCATATCCTCACCACTATTTATTGAAAGCTTACTATTTGCATGTACTAGGCTAAGTGTTTTATGTACATCATCATGTGAATCTAATTTAATCCTTGCTACTATTCAATGAATTACATTTTATTGTCCCTATTTTACTGAGGCCTAGAGAGATTAAGTAACTTTTATTAAATATTAACTAATTATGTAACTGGAAGAGATTAAGGTTAGGAGGTGCGGAAAGGATAGTCATATAATTCACATATGCAGTGGCCAAGACTTGTTCTCTGATTTGTACTCTAGACTTAGGAGCTAGAGCCCACTCTATTTTCTACCCCATCTAAAGCACTGCGCCCCGCCCCCCCCCATGTCCCTCTGCTCTAATTGGCCAAAGAAGCTCTCTTTACACATAACCATGGTTATAAAAACTTCTCTATTGAATATAGTCCATCAGTTGATTAACTAGGAAATAATTTGAACTAATCCCCTAGCCCATCAGTAAGTAAGTGATCCATTCAGCAGAAGTTGATTCAAATACCTGTAAATGGCAGGTATCATGGGCTGTGATGGAGAAAGGTGGAGTAGATACAAATCATGCCCTTAAGGACAACAATATAAGATTTTTTTGGTGGCAAAATGGAGATTTATGGCCTTTATAGCATTTAATTTGTTATATTATTCAAATCTGTGCTTTATCTGAAGCTGGATTCTTGGTCTGAAAGAAATTATTATAGCCATTTTCCAAGGGAAAATAAAATTTGCTTATGATGAGATTTCTAGAAATCCATGAGAAAATATAGGAATTTCTTTTAGCACCCAAGGATAGAGAGGATTTATGCATTCTTTTCAATTCTTTCACTTGGGAAGGCATATTTACTAATAATTCATATACCTGGAGTTGGAAAGATGAGGAGACCCTTTTTCCCTCCTAAATCTTGAGGTGACTAGGGAAACTCTTGGAATATGGGTCAATTAACCTGTCATGAAAAGGTTTGATTTATGCCTTTTTGAAATCTCAAGTTTTATTCTGTCTCTTCTCTGTCCTCATTACCAAAATTTGCTATCAGCTCTGAAATTATGCTTTATTCAAATTTCTTTAAAAAGTCATGGTTTTTTAATAGACTGGGTAAATTAACATTCTACAGGTATTGCATCGAATGTTAAGAGGAACACAATAAGAATTTGGGTGAAATTCTAATACATTTTTTTTTACTCAAGGTATTGCTAGGTTAGCACCAAGTCAACAAGGGGAATATTCACAGACAGGGTCCTTCTGTGACTGTTCAGTGTCTGATCAGTTTTGTTAATTGCATTTCAGACCCATCAGACTTTCCTCACTGTGGAGAAATATGAGGATGCTTCAGCGACATGGCAGGTGGTACATAATGACGCCTCCTGGGAGACTCGGTGAGCATGTCTATTGAATATTTTGTCTTTCAGGTCTTGAAAACAGTTGGTTAGTACTGTAGGGAAGACAAATGGGAAGACTGGCTCAATACATGGTATTAATGATAGCAAATTCCCAAGGAGCTGCCCGGCCATATTTAGTTGATTTATTAGACCTCATTTTGATTCTGTTTTTCTACAAAACGGTGGTGTGTGCCTCTGGAAGATTACGTGCTAATGAGGTTATGGCCTCCATTCTCATAAACATCTGTTCATTTTTTTCCCATAGTCAAAGACATTGTTCCTAAAAGCTGTCTAGCCTTCTTGCAAATTGGTTGAAAGGGGTGCTGGGTGAAGGTGATGAGAGAGCTCTGTAGAGCCTGGCATTCCTTCTGGAAAAAGAATCAGTCTATACCCAACAAATATGGTGTGTTTATATATGGTCCAGGATTCTTCATTTGAGTTACAAAACACAGGAGCTGAGTGTTTACATCAGAAAAAAGTACGCTCAGGGTCTTCAAAAGACACATTGCTGTGCCTGTTGTTACCAAATGCCTGAGCTGACTAGATATTTTGAAGATTAAAAATGTGTCTAAAATAAGACAATGTTTCTGTTCCCAATCTTACAAATTTCACCACAGGATAGTGGCATGGAAGCGGGGGACATTTTTAGCAATTTGTTTCTAATTCAGATCACCTTAAACTGAGTGATTATTTGCATATTGGTTTGGTTCACATGGGTAACTGAAAATAGAGATTTGATAGCCATACCTAAATATGGGCATACCTTTTTCCTCTGATCTTTAGGACTCTAGGGCAGTGATGGCAAACCTTTTGAGCTTGGCGTGTCAGCATTTTGAAAAACCCTAACTTAACTCTGGTGCCGTGTCACATATAGAAATTTTTTGATATTTGTAACCATAGTAAAACAAAGACTTATATTTTTGATATTTATTTTATATATTGAAATGCCATTTAACAAAGAAAAATCAACCAAAAAAATGAGTTCGAGTGTCACCTCTGACACACGTGTCATAGGTTTGCCATCACTGCTCTAAGGTATAGGTGGCTTAAAAACAAGGAGTAAATCCATATTTATTGTTAACATAAGGTTATACAGATAGTAAAAAGAGGCTGATTTATTTTCAGAAGCCCCAAATCAGAATAGCAGTCTACACAGAGATGATGTCTAGCTCTCTGCTTTGTTCATCAGCAGCAGTTCAAGAGCACCAAGCTTATTATTGAGAAACTGAATGTTGAGTTCAGGGGATTTACTCTCTACATAACTGAGGATATCAGTCAATTAGCGCATCCTGTCTCACTGTATCTGGAAGAGAATCTGAACCCCGTGTCCTGGTCTATAAGGACCAATGTGCTTTGACTCCGTCTGTTTCTGTCATCTTAACCACACCTCCACAGTTTACTCTGTCCTAATTCCACTGACCTGCGTCCTGTTCCTTGGCTGTAGCAAGTTTGTTCCTGCTTCAGACACTTTGCACTCTCTGTACCCTCTTCCTTTAAACATGTGCGGGCTCGGTTTAAATGATACCTCCTTAGAGATACCTGTCTTACTGATTTCACATATCAGTTTTAAGGTTGTTTGTGGTTTACTTGCTCATTGCTTTTCTTCTATCATTGAGAAACACAGAAACTTTGGACCATGTCTGTCTTGCTCACCACCGTGTCCTCAGAATGGAGTCTGGCACATATGCCATTAGAAGCGTCAGTTAACGCCGAGGATGACAAGGGCTAAAGGGTGCTATAGCAGTTCTAAGCAGGCGACATCCGTGTTCTGAATATCAGACAAGCCTTCCTGGGATGGCTAGAGTTTAGGACATTAGAAGATGGAACAGGCAAAGGTATTTCTACAAATGGCTGTTCCCTAAAGGTCCTTCTCTAGGAAGGAAGGATTTATCTCTGTTCTGTTCATTGCTATACTCTGAATATCTAGACTAGTGCCTTGTTCATATTCATTTAATGAGTAATCATATGTTTTTCTAACCACACATTTTTTTTTTAAGAATAAAATTGGATTTGTTTGTTTGTTTCCTACCAACAGTTTCTATTGGCACAAGGGATTACTGGGTCATAGCAATGCAACGATACAATGGCATATTCCAGATACTGCCAAGCCTGGGATCTACAGAATAAGATACTTTGGACACAACCGGAAGCAGGACTTTCTCAAGCCCGCTGTCATACTTTCATTTGAAAGCACTTCCTCTGATTTTGAAGTTGTAACTACTTAGTGAAAAGTTGGCACAGCATTTAAAGTGTTGCTCTGTATAAATTATGTCACTGATTTTATATGAATGTAAACTATTCTGATGACTTCTATAGTTGTCCCAGTTTGGAGTTTACTGCTAATGGGACAGAGGGGTGTGTGTGTGTGTGTGTGTGTGTGTGTGTGTATGTATGTGATATGTATGTGTTCCATTTACCTTGCTCTAGCAATTTTTACCTCATGGTCTACAGCATGATTTCCCTTGGGAACTTGTGGCTGTTTAAAGCAACAGTTCTCCCCATATAAAGCCTCTGAAATGTAAGAGTGGTTGAAGATGTGTGAACAATGTTTAAACTATTTATTTATAGGGTTATTGAATGTTAGCACTGGAAAAGCTTAGAGAGATCACCTAGTTTGACCCTTCATTTTGCAGATGGGAAACATAAAATTTTATGGATTTAAGATTAGCATAAAGCTACTCGACCTTTCCTGTCAGTTACATTTAAAGAACAGTATATAAATATCAACCATAAATATATAAGCCCCGTTAGAGAAAGTAGCATGAAAATTAGCATGCCAGTGTTTCTGTATCGAACACAGCCTTTCAGAGCAGTCACTCTGGGGTTGATGTGCCCAATCCAGGTTTATCATTGATGCACAAATCATTTCTGGAATTGCCTTCAAAGCCCACTTACAGAAAGTGAGACTTGTAATATTTGGATTATGCCTTGTGTTTCCCTAAGTGCCCTTATCCTACTCAATTGTATCTCTTATTCCCAAGACTTGTTCTCAGTGATTTTTGACCATTCTCACTTATCCAATTTACCCCCCAAACCACAAAGCTTTGCTTTTAGTGTAGATATTAAAATGAAAGTGATGTTGACTTAGAAGGGAGTCCTCAAAGGGGAGGCTTTAAATTCATGTTCTTCTATCGCTCACTCACTCACTTGGTTATGGACCCATTCAATTATGACATATTTATTAAGACCTATTCTCATACTCAGCATTGCACAAGTGTCTGGTACAATGACAGTTGGTGAGCTCAATTCGTGAAACCATATTTTGGATGAATGTATAATTATCAAAAGGTGGCTATTTTGTAGGAGAAAATAATCAATTCAAAATATAAATTCTGGGGAGGCATTGAAAAACCAGTAATCTTCAGGTATATCCTCTGTGTTGGGTACTCTAATTTTTTGAAAAAGAGGCTTCAGACAACTTGGAAAAAGCTGTTTTGAAGTTACGTTGGGGCATTACAAAATACCCAGCCCAATGTCCAAAAGAATGAGATAGGACAATCTGACATTGATTGCTGGAAAGTGCTAATTGCATTTAAAGTTATCCAAGTTAACTAGTTGCCCCAAGGCTGTTAAATAAACTTCCAGAAACCAAGTCATGTTTTGTGTGTGTATAAAAGATTCCACATTTTAGGGAAAAATCAATATTTCAAAAACAAACTTCAAAGCTTGAAAAAGAGTCATAGAAATAATGATAATATTAACGCCCATGTTTGTAGGACTTGAACATGCATTAGAGTGAACCTGGAACATTTTTTAATGAATCAGTCCTCTGCAGACTGTTTCTATGGAAATGAACTGCTGGAGAATTAGCTAATCAGGATTTCAAATGTGTAGCACTCATTTTCCCTAACGACCTCCCAGTAACTAGTGAAAAAGTTCAGAGGCCTAAAAGAGCAGGTAATTCTCAAAGTAGTTGACCCCAGACAGATAAGTTGTATTAGAACTCATGATATGATTTTTTAAAGGTATTTCTCATGACTCAGAAAAGTTTTTGAATGATTTTCTCCCTTCCTCCCCCACCCCCCAACCCCAAGCTTCCCATTGAAGGTTTCCTCAGTTGGCCAGTGATTCCCTATTGTTTACTTGCAACTGTGCCCAGACGGCCTTGGCATTACCTGTTGATGATCCTCCTGCACCCAGTCCTCTGTTCAGTACTCTTGGCCCCAAACAATCCACAGAAACCTGTTTTGTCACTAACGGCCATTTCTTCCAACCCATGCAGTTCCATTGCTGCAGTTTGTGTGTAAATGTAAGAACAAATACCTGCATTGCAGATACCACAGATTCTTTGGAGCATAAAAGAACACCATCAAGAGGCTGATCTGGTCTGTTCATGTCAAAACATAGACTCAATCTGTGTCTGTGGCTGCTGCTTCTTGGAGCCAAACCATGTGAAGAAAACTCCTGAAATTAGTGGAGAATGTGGAAAAACAGGGGATTGGGTTGATGGGAGAATTCTGCTGGAGAAGATTTTGTTTCTTGTGACAAAGTGTCTGTGTTTTGTTTGTTGTACTCTGTCTAGTTTTAAGGATGCTGTGATATCTTCAAAAAGGACTGAATAATCCCTCTATATTTTTCAATAAGTATTGCATAAATTGTCAATATTCAATAGAATGTTTAATAAAATAATAATTACACTGGAGAAAGTGTTTTCTAATGAGAGATGATGTAGATGAATGAACACTTTTTTTTTTAAATTTTAATTAAATCTTTATTGTTCAGATTACTACATTTGTTCCTCTTTTTTCCCCCCCCATAACTCCCCTCCTCCCGGTTCCCACCCCACCCTCCGCCCTCACTCCCCACCCACTGTCCTCATCCCTAGGTGCACGATTTTTGTCCAGTCTCTTCCCGCATCTCCCACACCCCTTTCCCCCCCAAGAATAGTCAGTCCATTCCCTTTCTATGTCCCTGATTCTATTATAATCACCAGTTCATTCTGTTCATCAGATTATTTATTCACTTGATTCTTAGATTCACTTGTTGATAGATGCATATTTGTTGTTCATAATTTGTATCTTTACCTTTTTCTTCCTCTTCCTCTTCTTAAAGGATACCTTTCAGCACTTCATATAATCCTGGTTTGGTGGTGATGAACTCCTTTAGCTTTTCCTTATCTGTGAAGCTCTTTATCTGACCTTCAATTCTGAATGATAGCTTTGCTGGATAAAGTAATCTTGGTTGTAGGTTCTTGGTATTCATCACTTTGAATATTTCTTGCCACTCCCTTCTGGCCTGCAAAGTTTCTGTTGAGAAATCAGCTGACAGTCGTATGGGTATTCCCTTGTAGGTAACTGAGTTTCTTTCTCTTGCTGTTTTTAAGAGTCTCTCTTTATCTTTTGCTCTTGGCATTTTAATTATGATGTGTCTTGGTGTGGTCCTCTTTGGATTCCTTTTGTTTGGGGTTCTCCGCGCTTCTTGGACCTGTAAGTCCATTTCTTTCACCAGGTGGGGGAAGTTTTCTGTCATTATTTCTTCAAATAGGTTTCCAATATCTTGCTCTCTCTCATCTTCTGGCACCCCTATAATTCTGATGTTGGTACGCTTGAAGCTGTCCCAGAGGCTCCTTACACTATTCTCGCATTTTTGGATTCTTTTTTCATTTTGCTTTTCCGGTTGGGTGTTTTTTGCTTCCTCGCATTTCAAATCATTGACTTGATTCTTGCGCTCCTCTGGTCTGCTGTCGGGAGTCTGTATAATATTCGTTTTTTCAGTCCGTGTATGCTTAATTTCTAGTTGGTTCCCCAATATAACATCGAGGGTCTCATTAGTTTTCTTGTAGATCTCATTAAGTTTATCGGCGGCTTCTAAACAGTTCTTGAGAGTCCTTAAAAGTGTGGTTCTGAACTCTATATCTTCCATTGACCATTTTGTCCTGTTTCTTTGTCTCCGTATTTTGTTATGCTTCCTTGGTGCACCCCCTAGTGGTCTTTGTTCGCAGTCTTATAGTTAAACCTTGTTGTAGCTAATACCAGGGAGGGTTTGACCTCCAGGCCAAGTGGCTATGAGAATCAGCTGTGTCAGCAGTGAGAGAACTTCTGTCCTCTAGGGAGGTGCTAATCTAGCCTTTGCCTGAGGCTATCCGGCAAATGCCTCTGTGCAGGGCTTGGGCGGGGCGGGTCGCACAGGATCAACAGGGTGGGCCGGAGAGAGCGGTTATGGCGGCTCTCAGTCCTGTCCCCAGGGGCTCCGCCTCTCTGAGTCCCAGCACCCGCTGCAAAGCTCAGAGAGAAAGCTGCACTCGGTCTGACCGAAGCCAGACAGTCCCGCTTCTCCCGTTTGAGTCTGGGTCCCTAAAGACTCGCCCGGATCTGGAGCTCAGAGTCTGCGACTCCCTCCGGATTGAAAATGCCAACCGCACCCTCCGCCGCCAGCCCGCTCCGTGCACTCCGCACCTCAGAATTTGACTTCAGCACTGCGCCTCCTCTGAGTGTCCGTATGCGTTTCTCTTTCCTCCTAGTTGTAGGACTTCCACTCAGCCAGCGTTCCTGTGGTTCTTGGTGATGTCCGTTCTGTCTTTTAGTTTCACTTTTGAAGTAGTTGTTCAAGGCAGCAAACTCCGATGTTAACCTATGCCGCCATCTTGGTTCTCCTGTTTTGGTAGGACGAAAGTGTTTTCTAATGAGAGATGATGTAGATGAATGAACACTTTTTTTTTCTTCTTTTTAAGAGGTGTAACAAATGGTGATGGATTCCATGTAAATCAGGCTGGGAAGTGATATAAATGGCTTTTGTAAGTAACCACCCAAACATAAGGGCACCACTTCATCAGTTCCTTCCTGCCTTCCAAAGATTTACTGCTGGCAAAATACATATGGTGGACATTTTTTACTACTAGGGCAACTGAGAGTTTCCTAGACAGACTTGGACTGAATTATGGCTGTGGTATTGTCCCTTGTTTATGAAATGGTGTTGGTAATAATGACCTTCTATGATTGCTATGGACTTGTGTATGTTAATGGTTAAGAGAAAATATCCTGGAAACTTACTGGTTCAAATTCTAGTTGCCATTTATTCAGTGTCAGATCCTGAGTAAATGACTCGATTTCTTAATGCCATAGTTTCTTCATGGGTCTCAATTTCTTTTATAAAATAAGAACAATAAAGTACTTACTCTTTTCATTTGTGAGGGTAAGTTAAGGTAAAGTTGTTGGTGCAGTGCGTGGCATATGATATGTGCTCGATTTACTTAGCTGTTAATTAACTTAGCTGTCACTGAGGTGATATGCAAGATGATGCATCTGAGTATCTGGAAAAGAGTAGGAAATAAAAATTCCTCCATCAAGAACTGAATCTATGATTTGCCCCAAAGACATTATCTGTTTCCTGATATTTTTCAGAGTTGTATTTTTGACATCTCTGATATTAATGTAGGAAGAATTGGAATGGGGAGGGGTTAATTCAGGCTATTAGAGTTGTCAAGACCCAGAGATAATGGAGGCCAGGCCAGGGTCAGAAGGTGGGATGGTATGAAACTCTATAGTTGAAATGGACATGACGAGATGGGGATGGAGAGAAAGACTTTAAAAACAACGAAAACCCTGAAACATTGTTTGGGTGATAGTAACAGTACAGTGGGGCCTTGACTTAAGAGTTTAATTCGTTCCGAGACCGAGCTCGTTAAGGAGCTCGTTAATTCAAATTACTCTATCAACTCAATGCAAAAAATCGGTGGAGAGACAGCTGGCATCTCAAAAAACTCGTTAGTCGGGACACACGTAAGTCAAGGCCCCCAGTATAAACAAGAGCCAAACAAAGAAGAGAATTTCAGATGGATGATAGTAAATCTAGTTTGGGATGTCAACACTTGATCTTAGACATCTAGCCTCCAGTTCTATGAGCCAATATACGTGTTACTGTTGTTTAAGGTACCCCGTGTTTGGGATTTTGTTATGGAAGCCTTGGGAAATGATATGCTGACCAATGGATTAATTTTCACCACTTTAGGCATCTGCCAAAGAGGTTCTTGGGTGCTTTCCAGTTTAGAGGACATAGTAATTATGTCTGTACTTTACTCTCCTAAATAACATGGTCACTTTATGGCAACTGTTCTCATCTATCATTGGTTGCCTATAACTGTCATCTATCGCTGTCAAGGACTATAGTAAACTCTGAACTTAATTTACATATTATAAAAAGCCAAGTGAATCAGCTACAATGAAGCGCTAAGATTTTATGGAGAATGAACATTCTATTAATTTTGGAAATTGATCTTTTATGGCTTATGGGCAAGATCATGAATATCAATTATATATTTATAAGATGACAGAATCAGGACAAATGTAATTATGCATATTTATTCTCAGGTCCAATTGAACTGAGCTATTTTTTTCCTCTCCAATTTATTATGTAAATATTATAAGCTCTGCAGCAATTATAGGACATGTCAGTGTAGAATCCATCTTTCTGTTTACATGGAGGCAAAGCCAGAAAGAAATCATGATATACTTCAAAAATTTGGTAGTGCCAGTTTTAAATTAAGGCAAAAAAAGGTTATATTCATGTTGTACTAGTAGAAAGCATTGCAAAAAAAGAGTAACTGAGGTTTTTTTCTCTGTGAGTGATTCACTTATGGTTAAATAAATGACTACTTAATTAGATTCCCACCAACAGTGCACAAGGGTTCCCTTTTTCCCCACATCCTTACCAACATTTGTCTTTTTGATAATGACCTTTCTAACAGGTATGAGGTGATATCTCGTTGTGGTTTTGATTTGCCTTTCCCTGATGGTTAATGATGGTGAGCACTTTTTATAGCCCAGTTAGCAAGATGTGTGTTTTCTTTGGAAAAATGTCTGTTCAGATACCCTGCCCATTTTTTGGGGGGGGGGGGGGTTACATGTAGTCTATTGCTTCATCTGATGACTTTGTTATTATATATGTAAAAGTTTAGCATACTATGTACTTTAGTTAGAGAGGAAACTATCTTGTTGATTTTTTTCTTTATTGATTAAGGTATTAACATATGAGTCCTTATTGCCCCATTGCTCCCCCCCACTCAGGCCCTCTCCCCCGTGTTGTCTGTGTCCATTGGTTAGGCTTATATGCATGCATACACGTCCTTTGGTTGATCTCTTCCCCTTACCCCCACCCTCCCCTACCGTCCCTCTGAGGTTTGACAGTCTGATCGATGCTTCTCTGTCTCTGGATCTGTTTTTGTTCATCAGTTTATGTTGTTAGTTATATTTCATAAATGATGAGATCATGTGATATTTGAGTGAGAGTCAGGAAGCTTGGATCCCTGTCCTGGTTCTGTCATAAAGCATCTGGGAAACATTTGGATCAGTTTCTTAACAACCCTGAGTCATATCTAGGATTTGATCTTGAAAATCTCTGAATTCTATGGCACTTATTTGGTGTCTTTGTTGACAGATTGTAGTAGCTGCTTGGAGAAGTAGATGGGAAAGGCTTGAGAGGTGGCATCTGGGTCCTGTGGGAAAGTATGATCTGATTGATTAACATTGTCTGATATGGGTGGGGTCTGGGCTAGTGGCTAAATGATGGCCCTATATTTGCCTTTCCAGATCTATGGGATTCTATAAATGCTCTTTTCCAAAGACGTAAGATATACAGGTAGTTTCCAGGAGGGTCAGAAAAAATTTCTCATCTAGCAAATTATTCAAGCTCCTCTTTTGGCTTTTA